AGGTAAGCCCTGGCTGGTTTGGCTCAGTGGTTAGAGTGTTGGCTCATGGACCAAAGGGTCACAGGTTCAACTGCCGGTCAAAGGCACGTACCTGGGTTGCAGTTTTGATCCCCAGCCCCAGTGAGGGTCGTATGGAAGTCAACCAGTCGCTGTGTCTCTCTCACATTGATGTTTCTTTCTCTCTCTCCCGCCCTCCCTCCTTTCTACTCTATCTAAAATCAATGGAAAAATATCCCTGGGTGAGGGTAACAAAAACCAAGTAAAGCAAGAAGACGTTAGGGAGTTGGGAGGCGTTAGCAGCACGCTGGGCCTGACCTAAGGCTTCTTCACTGGTAAGTTACAAATGGAAAAATTGTCTGTGAAATGAGATTTATTATTGTATCCATGTACCATGCAAAGTATTTTTTAACTATGTTTATTGATTTTTAGAGAGAGGGGGAGGGAGAGAGAAATGTCAATGTGAGAGCAGATCACCCATTGGCTGCCTCCTGCACGCATCCCACCAGCTACCTTGTTGCGCACGGGAGCTGCCCAACTAACTGGACCACACCGGCCGGGCCGTGAAGTCCTGTTACACACCATCGGACGTGCACACCCACCGCTCAGCGATGAGCACAGTGGAAAGAGCAGACTTTGGAGCTGGACGGAGCTGGGTAGAAACCGCAGCCCAGCGCGCCCTGTGCCCCTTGGGTAAGGTCCTTGGCTGTCCGTGCTTCGGTTCCCTCGTCGGCAGGATGGAAATAAAGCACGCGGTGGCGTATCGTGAGAGACCTGCAAGGCACCGTCTGCAAAGTGCCAGCATTTCAGCTAGGCTGAACCACATCTCAGGATGCCCAGAACGTGTCTGGTCACGGCGCACCTCAACGCTTTCCCGTGTAAGAGCGGAGGGCACGGAGGAGGCCGAACTGTGAGCTGCGGAGAGATGGCCAGAGGCCTCGGTCTGCCGCCAGCGCGTCCTCTTCAGCTCAGCCTGGCTCCTGACGGCTGGGCCCGGGGCCACCCAGAGGGGCTCAGCCTCCCACACTCCTCATCACAGCTGAGGTTGTCTCTTACATTTTGTGTCTCCTGCATAACATAAAGCCCACTTTTAGGTGAATAATTTCTGACTGATTCCCAAATAAAAATAACCACCATGAAAAATCTGACCACAGCTGCACATGTCACTGACCCCCAGAGGCAGAGGAAGTCAGAGCCTCACTACAGGTCGGCAGACATCAGTCACCTCCCTGCCCGCCTTCCGGAGGACGACCTCCAAGGACAGCCTCACACAGTGCCACAGGCCAGCGTGCCCCGCAGCACAGCCCCACGAGCACCCCCCCAGTCCTGGCTCAGCCAGGCTGTGCCCACAACCCAGCACAGAGCCTCCCAGGGCTCCGCCCGGAACCAGGACGTGGGGGCCCGGGGAGGCCAGGGCAGGCTCAATAAGGACGCCGCGTGTGATGTTTCACTAGAAAACATCTCCAACGCTGCCAGAAGTAAAAAGAAGGCAGCGAACACCCACGTACCGGTCTCATACTCGGCCATGTTAACGGTTCACCATCTTGCCATATTCTCTCTCCAGGATGGAGTAGAAGGAGCTTTGGGGGGACAGTACATTTTGCAGGGCTCTGTCTGTAGTCTTTTCAGCCTTATACACCCAGCTCCTGCACAGGCCTCCAGCCGGCTGTCTAGCAGCATCTCGAACCGCACATCCCGACCCCAGCACCACTGCACCCTGTCCTCACCCCAGGAAATGACACCGCCGTGCTCTCAGTGGTTCAGCGTGACAACCTTGGTGTCAACCTCGATGACCCTCTGACGTGGGACACCTCGAAAGCACTGTGATTCGGGGGCAGACCCGGGACAGGAGAGGACACGATGGCGCGGGGGCTCTGCGGGTGGACCCTGGAGTCACGCTGCCCGGGCCGCTGCTGAGCAGCTCACTCACGAGGCATAGCTTCCGGTTCCTCCTCCGAAATGTCCAGATCACAAGATCCACTCCCACGGTTGCTGTGGACATTACATGACGTAGTGTGACAGCTGTCCGAGGTCAGGTCCCTGGGCGTGAGAGGGAGCCCGCTGCTGCCAGTGCACAGTGTCCTCCGTGCAGTGAAGAGGGCAGGCAGGTCAGAATCCACGCGTCCCCACGGAGCTGAATGGCACAGCAGGAGCCGTGACTCGCTGTGGGAACCCGGAAGCTCCCTCCGAGGTAAACTTGGACTCGTGCACTTTTGCCAGACCAAGCCCCTCCCTTGGTTCACGCCCTCCTTCAACTCTACTCGCTTCCTCCAGAGCCCCCCCGAGGGTGGTGGGCACGCTGGCTCTCCACGGTCTGACCCCGCCGTGCTCACACCCACCCCTGTGCGACACCCACCACTAGTGTCGGGTCCTTGGCCACCTCACGGGGCCCGGGGCACTTCCTCAGTGGGTGTGATTTGATTGTTTGCTTATTAAAATCAGTGTGTTCAGATAATAAATCCGAAATAATGATGACTTCTGGCTTCCTCACAACCATGCAAGAAATGTGGTTTCTAATTCGATCAAGTATCAAAAGTGGATGTATTATCCTTTAAGGATCAACTTGTTTCGTGTCATTTCAGTCATTGATGAAAAATTATTTAAATATAGATACGTGATGGTAAAAAAAAAAATTGATAAATCCAACTGAGTACATACATTGTTTTAAAATATATCAATAGGTGAATTGTATTTTAAAGCTATATGTATAGCCCTGGCCGGATTGGCTCAGCAGTTAGAGGGTCGGCCTGTGGCCAGAGAGACCGGGTTCAGTTCCCACTAAGGGCATGTACCTCGGTTGCAGTTTGTCCCCAGCCCTGGTTGGGTCGTGCGGGTGGTGACCACTCAATGTATCTCTCTCACATTGATGTTTCTCTCTCTTCACCCTTCCTCCCTCCCACTCTATCTGAAGATAAATGCAAAAGTGTCCTTGGGTGAGAATTAAAAAAAAAAAAAAAAAAAAGGGAGCAACCACTGTCCAGTCAGGTCGGTCACCTCACATCCCACAACAGAAGCGGCAGGAGGTACAACTGGTGAGCTCAGGACCACCTGCTGACAAGCAAGCAACTCTCACTCATGGTGAGCATCTCAATCTCCTGGATGCCTGTCCTGGGGCCTAATTTTGTCTGCCTTGACCAAGAGTGAGAATTAGGGGGAGGAAATAAAGGATTTCTGAAAGCTGGTGGCGGGCACAGCGGGACCACGGCGTTCTACTGAAGATAAACAATTCCGCAGACACCAGCACCCAATGGGGTCCCTGGGATCATGACAGAGCGAGGTCAAGTACAGACAGAAACAAGGCCACGAGGAAACCGTGAGAATGATCACTGCCCCCGCGTGCAGCTATCACGAGGGCCACGGCCCTTCTGCCATTGCATCTGCCATTCCATTCCATCGCTCCCACTCCCCGGGGACACGCCTGGGGCACACAGGCACAGACCCCATTTCACTCCCTGCCAGTGCTCAGTCCCGAAGAGAAATTGCTTCTTTAAACATCCCGCAAGATCAGCCAACACAACATTCAATCCCGGGCTGCTTCCTGGTGGAGTCTCCTTCGTAGTAACAAGTAACCCAGGCAAATTTGTCCCACTGCAGATGTGTTTTGGGGACTTGTGCTGTGGGCAGTGTTAACACCAATAACTCCCCTGGGTCGCTCATCTAAAAAATGATCCAAAGCCAGAGAAAACCGAAGATATAAATAGAAATAATAGTGACCACTCAGGAGACATGTGCCAGAAGGTATTTTCACCTGGTTACCTCTATCTCACCCCTCAGCTCTGGGCTCTCCTGTTCCTCCGCAGCCCCTCGCATCCATCAGACCCCTCAGCTCCGCCTGCACGGACCATCCCGAACCTCACCTCCTCCCAACATCACGGTGCACACCACGCCCAGCTCCCTGGGCCACCACCACACTGTCGCCAGAGCCTCAGGAAGGATCTCTCAACCTCGGTCCTGGCCCCCACTCCCCCCTGGCGTCCATTCGTCTCACCACGGTTGGCGTGAGCCTCCCAAATGGGAACTCTGTATGTATCCGAAATATTACGTTTATGAAAAGATGTTCAACCTCAACAAAGAAAACTAAACGTGTTCAAATGAAAGTAACACATTGCTCAGTGTGGTGGCTGGCCCAGGACTGTCGGTGAACATTCGTTGGAGACGCGGAAAACAATGTTTCATCCGACAACTGGCAAAGAGTGTAAAGTATTAACCCCGGCGCTGGCAAGGGCTCACGGAAACCGCGCTCCGTGCACCGCTGGAGAGAGCGGACGTGGCATCAGGAAATCGGTCTCCAGCGTCTCCGAGACGGCCACACACTTAGAGCAAGCTCTGTTCATGTCACTGTTTGATTTAAGGATGTTGTCGGGGATGTGCCCAAAGCGTATGTATATTGAGCAGGCCAGGCATGTTAAGGAGCGGTTTCACCTTACATGTTTAAGAACGGGTCCTTTTTAGGTCATCAAATTCACTCTGGACTAGAAAGGGGCTTTCTGTTGTCGGCGGGGAGGAGGCTGTTTATTCTCTGTGGCTGCGGTAACAATTGGATTCACCACCAATCCACCATTAGGCTTAAAACAACACCCATCTATTACCATACGGTTCTGGGGGACAGAAGTCAGAATGGGGTCTCACTGGGCTAAAGTCAAGGTGTCCCCAGGGCTGTGCCCCTGCTAGAGACGCTAGGAGAGAATCCACCTCCTGCTTTTCCAGATGCCAGAGGCCTCCTACAGACAGGATGCCTGCATTTCTTAGCTCGGGCCTCCTCCTCCATTGTCAAAGCCAGCGGCACATCATCCTCAAGCTTCTCTCTGATCCCTGCCTCTTCCACTCGTATAACTGCATCAGGCTCACCTCCATAACCCAGAACAATTTCCCATTTCAAGGCCCTCTGATTAGCAATTTCATTCCTTCTGCGACCTTAATCCCACCTCACCCTGCTACGTGACATAGTCAGAGGTTCTTGGGGTTTGGATGGGGACAGTTTGGGAGGACTGATGTTCCACCTACCACAGCGGGCATGAGCGTTTTGGGCTCACTCCTAAGCAAACGATGACGCTTCCAACCTCCAGGTGGGTCTCCCAACTCCAGAAGGTGGCTGAGACTGTGGCTGCAGAGAAGAAAAAAAACGTCTCAGCACACTCAGTGAACCTGTTGGGAATCAGCATTGCTCTTATTGTTCGCAGTCCAAATATTCAGGCAATAATATCTGTAGCCTGACCAGAGTCAAGACAGATCACTGAGCCCCAAAGCCTAGGCTGAGTGTACCTTGAAGCAATCAGAGGGGAAGAGGGCAGAACTTGAGTTCTCCAGCCGTCTGAGAGTCAAAGTTTAAACACAGATCTCATGCAGCAGAAGTTGGGCTGAAGCTGAGAGACCAAGCCAGGGGATGAAGCCAAGTGTAGCTGGATGGACCGGGACTTCACATCCAAACACTGAGCCCATCGAGCTGCGGCACCCGCTGCGTGCCTACTGGACACTTGCCCTCACGGTGTGTGGCAGGTCAACCTGGCTTAAAGGTACAGGTTTGGCTGACATTATTTTTCTCACAAGAGCCCTTCCAACTATACCACTGTGTTGATTTATTTTTATTTTCTCCCACAAATTCAAGGATCTCAGTAGAGGAAAGTCTAGCCCCATGCCTACTAGTCATCCCAAGGCAGGAGTCAGCATTTAGAGCTACTGGCTGGGGTCCCCTCCCCCAGCATCTCTGCACACACAACCAAGGCAGGTGGATGGAAACCAGGCACCTAGATGCTCCCCACTCACACATTTCCGAAGAACTTGTAGGGCTCTGATACCCCTTCCATCCGGGTATCATCACTCTTGTCTTTCTTTCAACGGAGGAACCGGACTGGTGAAGAAAACAACATAATCGGGGTGGCGCCGCAAACTCCCGTTCACTCTGCTGTGGCTCAGAGTCAACAGCGCAGTGTTCAGCCTTCTGACCCGCGTGCTTCGTAGATTCGGATGAGGAAAGGAGAAATAAATATATTATAGCTAACTTCATCCTAGAAGCGCGAAGGACGGTATGGAATAGAGATTAAAGAGTGTATGGAATAGAGATCAAGGAAGACGCATCTCCGCTCGTTCTGTTTTTCCCAAAAGGAGATCGATAAAACCAAAGCTCAAATCCTTGTTGTAAACTATCACTATGCCAGAGTCCTAAAGTTCTGAGGACTTACAAGACAAGAACCACAAGCCACGAATACGCTCAAAGAAACCAGACCCGGGTGGAACTATCTTAAGATTCCATCACAAACAGTAGTCTCCCTTCCCATACCAGGAAAGTGTCTGCTTGGTATGAAAACAAATTCTCTCCGTTTGGCCGCAAGCTAAGCCAACAGAAGAAACATTTATTCCCTCTGCCCCCGTCTGGGCTCCCTCCCAGTGCCTGTGTTTCTTTCACTGGGAGCCAGAGCCCTAGAGCCAACATCAGGGGCGAGACTCCTCCTCACCCCTCATGAAGGAAGCAGTGTTGAAAGCCAAGTATTTGGTTTCAAGACAGGAAGGCCTGTTCTCAAGGCCTAAACATTCAGCTGTAAACTGTGTCGTGGAATTCTGGCTGTGGTCATGTGTCAAGCTAAGAAAACATCACGCCACCTCAGCCCTGTATGTAGCACAGAGCTACAGAGAGCTGAGATGGATAAACACACACATATGTTGTTAGCGGTGACAGTGAGCTACAGGAGCAGCTGGGAGGGTGTCTCTGCTACTGAAAAATTAGAGCCATTGTTGTATAAAAGCCATGTAAATTTTGGCTCCATATCATCATCGGTTAAGCAGTTATAAAGATCTGTTGTATGAAATGTACAAAGAGAAGGGACTATCTTATTTTTCCATGAGACGTGTTTGTGAAAATAGGTAGGTTTTTGTACATGAAATCACATCAGGCATGTCACTGTTTTAGAACGGTTTTCGATAGCGCTTATCACCATCTACCATAGTGTAGAACTTACATGTTTCTCGCATTTATTGTCCACTGACTCTTTGCATATGGTGGCTGCGGCTGTGGTTGTCCACCCAGGACTCGGCTCATCTCCAGGGCCTCTTACTCCACATCTGCAGCTCTTCCTCTCTTCCCCTCCACTCCGCTGGCCTGGGGTGCTAATCCTAACACGTGACTATCCTAAAGGTATTACAGGGCTATTTAGTCCCCGAACAGGGAAAAGTTTCTCCCTTTTGCCAACCCCTCGACCCAGCTGCAATCACTGGTTGGAGAGATGTTCCCCACACATGTCCTGACTTATCATTTCAACCTTAAAATTTGCCCCAAAACAAATACTTATTGAATGCCTACTATGTGCCACGCACTGTCCTGGTTGCTTGGGATACGAACATAGACAATAAACTCCTTAATTAATTAAACTGAAATGTCTCAGGGACCCATCGGAATTGGTCCTGTGGGCAATGCCTCTCTATAAATTCTCCCCATGTTGAAATCTCAACCTGCACCAATTTCTGATGTTTGCCTTTAAGAGAAGCAGACAGTAGGGCCTAGCCTACTCCAGATCTCTCGGGTTTTCATTAGCGTATCTGACTTGACACTTCCTGTAAATGAACAGGTGCACACCTCCCAGAGGGCCCCAGGAAAAGGCTCATTGAGTGCAAAAGCCTCAGGTTGTACAAACCCCACTGTCATTTCAGAGACTCCTCACACTCCCAAAGGAGCCAAAACCCAACCGAATTATTATAGAATTCCGGAATCAGTCGCGCCCTTTCAGAAATCACTCTGCTTCTATCTGACCATACTGGGCCCACGACCCGCCAAGTGGAGACCCTTGCTCGGGCAAACCTTTGGAGGTCTCTAGTTAGAGTGTAATTTATGTGCCGGGTCAAAATAACTATTTTGAAAATATTAGAAAAAGTCAATAGAGTGAAAAGCTTTCCCTTGTTTCTTTCTTGAAATTCTTTCTCCAGCTTAACCCAATTGCCTAAGTCACTTCAAAGCCTTTAAACAAAATGAAATCCTAATGATGTCTCTGCCATGAATAATTAATTGTTCATGTACCATCTTCTCAACAAAATCCATTCTCATTAGATTAGAGGTTTCCTCAAGATATGTGAGTTCATTATGGGCATTTTTACCTCCTTCTTGTATCTTCCTTTCTTTGTCCGTCTCGTCTGTGTCTGTGACCTGGGATTCCATCCCCTTGGCAGCTTTCCAAAGAGAAATGGCTGTCAGGGCCGTAAAGACCTTCCAGAAGTGGTCAAATGTCTCGCTGCTTCAAAACACGGCGGCTTAACCAAGACAGGAGGGAGCAGGTGCGAGGGCTCGGACTCACCTGGTGAGTCAGGGCGCCTTGGTCTTTCGGTGGGAAAAGAGGTCAGTAGGGCAGGGGTGTGCCTCACCGCCTGACTTTTCCCCGGAGTCTCTGTCTTCCTGAGAAAGCCCGATGACTAGAAAGCCTTGGGGAGAAAAGAACATCGTAACAAAAGAGCATCGTGTCATTTCTTTTCGGAGGATAAAACGCAAGGCCTTAGACACGGTGGGAGAATCTTCAAAGGTCATCTCCCATTCACTTGACAAAGAGCTGAGCGCTGCTGTCCATTACACAGTGCTAGCCACTGGACCACAGTGACCCGTGTTCCTGTCCCCTCCCCAACCGCCTTCTCGTTCTCCCCTCCTCCAGCCTCACGCACAAATGTGTTCAAGTCTCCTAACTGAATTGCTGAATTGAATCAGATTTATTACATCTGTGTTTACATTTTTGAAATGAATCTAGAAGAAGAAAAGGATCTCATCTATAACTTCAAACACGTTTCCTATTTTCCTCCTAAACGTAAGTTTGGATTATGCCCAAATTACAGTTGTTTTTCACAGTAATGGGCTCAAGAACATTTAGGCGTAGGACGGACTTGGCAAACACTAGACACAGAGCTTTTTGTCTCCTGCTCTTCTTACAAAGCTCTACTCCTCCAACAGACAAAAGCTTGTATTCTGTCCTCGCCACCTAGCCTAGCGGGTGCATTTTTCAGGTTACGGGGTAGTCACAGCCATCGTTTAGAAAAGCCACATGACACTCCGTGAAGCACACTCTCTCTCCATTTCCACTACTAGAGAGAGTCTTTCTGCATACTTTTCCAACCTTCCGGATCATTTCAACTCTTAGAAGTGGAAATACTGCCTCAAAGGTTAATATTTGGGTTGTTGAGGCATATTGTGAAAAACTTTCCCAAAATACTGCTCCCGTTGAAACCCCTATATCTCCTACTTAATCAACAGTCTCACTTAACCTTTCACTTGAAGAGGTCATGACGTACAGAAGAGGATGACTTTAAATATTTATCGTGAAGTGTATCATACATACAGAAAAGTATATAAAAGCTATGTAGCCGTGGCTCAGCGGTTAGAGCATCGGCCTGCGGTCCAGAGAGACCCGGGTTCGGTTCCCGCTAAGGGCACGTACCTCGGTTGCAGTTTGTCCCTGGCTCTGGTTGGTCATGCGGGTGGCAGCCACTCGATGTGTCCCTTTCACGTCGATGTTTCTCTCTCTCTCTCTCCCTCCCACTCTATCTGAACAAAAAATGTCCTCGGGTGAGGATAAAAAAAAATAAAATAAGTAAAATAAAAGCTATGTAGTTTTTAAAATAATAGCATTAATATCCATATAACCCATGACCCAGTTTAAGAAACAGAATATTCCCCGGCCGGTGTGGCTCAGTGGATGAGCGTGGTCCCGTGGACTGAGAGGTCCTGGTTCCATTCCCGGTCAGGCCTCTTCAGGTGGCTTCCACCTTATAATTGTACCATCTTGGAGTTTTTTCCTTTTAGTCAAGTATAACAAGTAAGAGAGAGGGCATGGAGAACTCATATCTGCTTTTATTTATTTATTTGTTAATCTTTATTGATGCATTACAGATGTCATATCTGCTTTTTAATATCTGCCTGTCTCAAGAAGTGATACAGGTCTGCTTTCTTTGGTAAGAACTGCCACATGGCCTCAACTTGACTACAAAGGAGGCTGGCAGATGTGGCCTTCTTGACACCCACACAGAGCTGCCCACCGCATGTAGGCTGTGCCACAGCTCCCTTCCCAGAGACAACCCTTCCTGACGTCTATGTTCATCGCTCCCTTGCTCTTCTCTATAACTGAAAAAAGAAACTGAGTAGGCAGCACAAACCTAACTGCGTGAGAGAAGGATGATACTGACACTATTACATAAAGGCTCCTGCAAGCGGATAAGATAACAAAGTGTCTGAGTCAGTCTAGCGTTAGCCTCCCTGAGAATCTGCAATCGACCTTTCTGGGGATGTCCATGGGCAAGGTCGTGAGTGAGTCTTGGGGATCACAGGGACCACCAGTTTTGCAGTGTTTGACAGCACTCCAGTTTGGACCATATGCTCAATGTCCGTCCGAAACGGCTTCCGAGGGAGGAAGCTGCTCTGTAGTTTTCCTTCTAAACTCACCATGATCTGAGGAGTACGTTGGAGCTAATCCAACATGAAGGCACAGAGAGTATGCAAAATCTCTCATGGTACGTAGTCAACACAGGACGAGTGCTGAGAGGATCTGGCCAGTCTTGCCCGCACATTTGGTCGCAATGACAAGGACGGTGCTAAGCACAGGGATCGTAGGATTCACAGTGCTCAACGTGCTGACTGATGACAGCCACCCTGCGGTCTCCCTCACCACCATCCTGGGGCTCCCTTCATCTCCGCTGCTGGATCTCCTGGTTCCAGTACCCCACAGTTCCTTCTTTTTTCTTTTCTTCTTTTTATTTCCCCTTTATATTTTATTCCTCAAAATACTGAGTATAATTGTTTTAAAGTCTTTAACTCAACTCTAATGTCTGGAGTCCCGAGGTCTTCCTATTGTCTATTTTTTTCTGCTGGAAACACATCCTCCTGCAGCTTCTTAAGAAAAGATGCATGAGAGGTCTGTTTTTTGTTTTTTTTTTAAATCCAAAAATATGCATTTTTGAGGTTACAATGTAGCCTGTACAACCATCATTTAGAGAGGCTGTATGACATTCCATCGAGTGGGTACACCCTTGTTTACCAAACCTTACCCTTTTTTTAGATATCTGTATTGTTTTCTGGTCTTCATTGCTATGAGCAGTGCTGCAGTGAGCATCCTTCTGCGTCTGGGTGCCCAGTGTGGACCAAGCGCTCTGGTGGGCGCTGAGGTCAGACACAGCCTAGCGGGCACAAGCCAGCAGGGGGCAGCAAAGGGAAGTAAGGTGTCTGTGCTTAGAGACACAAGCGCTCATTTCCCTGAGAGTCTGGGGTACAAAATGGCCTTTCTCTGAGGTCTTTATTCTAACTTAATTACACACTCAATTTTGAATTTTTATACATAATTATGTCTATGATTTGGACATTAAGTAATAATCTCTTAAATCACATTGGTAAATGACCTCACCTGTCACCACTGCTCTGTGAATACCTCCCCAACCACATCTGCACAAGCCACCTCTCAAGTTCCTGTCGTGCATCCAAACCTGTCTGCTGCCCCACCCTCCGCCGCTCCTCAAACCCAGCACATCCAGACCCCAACTCATCACCCTCGTTCCCCCTTGGACCTGCCCCTGCCCCTCAGCCCATTATAAATCTTCTGGGTACCAGCTGATTTAGTGAGGGGACAGCTTCACTCACTGGAAATCAGGGGAGGTGACTGACTACCACCCCGCAGAGGCCCACTGCCCTCCCAGGAGGGGCGGATCACCCACGGCCATTTGAGAGAGGCTCGGGACACCCGGGGGGCCGGAGTTCCAACAGTGACTTCTGATGACTTCTAGAAGGAAAAGAAGGACAGAGGGACCCATGACGGTAAGAAGAGAGACTGGAACTGAGTTTTCTCTGAATGCAACATTGTCATAGTGCCGCACCACCAGGAACCCAGGTGTTTCATTCGACTACTCAGGTCACGGCACTGAGCCTCTGAAGATAAATGGAGAAATAACCTCGAATGAGGATTTTTTTTAAAGTCCCCGGTACACCCTTCACCCAGCTTCTCCAAATGTAAACACGCATAGCCATAGCGCAATGATCAAAACCGAGGAATTAACTCTGAGGAGATACTGTGAACTAATGTACAGACTATACTCAAATGTCACCCAGTGTCCCGCTAACATCCTGTTTCCGGCCAAGGGTCAAATCCCCTGCCTTTGGTTGCTGTGTCCCCTGTCCGGGGGAGTGTCCCCGTCTTTGTCTTTCACCCCCTTAACACTTCTGGAGAGTCGAAGTAAAACAGTTAAACCCACTGAGTTTATGACCATCTCCCCAAACAGTTTTATTAATTTTAACAGTTTTATTAAAGGCAGCTCCCCAGATAGTTGCCAGCACATTGGGGGAGAGCCCTGATGGGTTCTAATCCCAGACGACTCTATTCCCTCCAGCAAGTTCCCAGCAGGGGCACGAGGAGGACAGAAGAGTGGTTTAGCGGGACCAGGACTCTACCCCGGCACCCCGAGTTTTTAAATCTAAGGTCTCCTGAGCATCTAAGCTTAGTGCCATGGTCCTGGATGCCCAGACACCTCACCCATTCGAAGGCACATCTGTTGTGCCATGTGACAAGTACACCCTCCAGGACTTGGTGGAGACTGCGGTTCACCCCCAGCCTGTCTGAGAGAAGCCCAGGCTGTCAGGACTGCCCATCCTGGAGCTGACTGGGGTCACTGTCCCCAGCCTTCAAGGGTGAGAATCCCAGGGCCAACCTCCAGTGCTCCGGTGCCCCCAGGCTCAGAAGTAACCTTCCAGGACCCCCAGCAGCAGAGCTATGTGGTGTTGCACTGCCATCTAGTGCTGAAAGTAATGAAATGCAACAACTCTGCCCCTGCCACCAGTCACAGCTATTGTAACAGAGAATGCAGCAGAGGTCCACAACCTTGAAGAAGCAACATGCCAAGCTTTCATCAGTTTACTCTAATTTCACAGGGTGACAAGCCAACGTGATTTATTGGGAAGAGGCACTGGAGTCAGGTGGACCAGGAGGGAATTCCTCCTCTGTTCTTATTCATGTGACCTGTTCAGTCTCTGGACATCCCTGAACCTTATTTTCCTCATATTAAAACAGCTACAGGCCCTGGTCAGGTAGCTCAATTGGCTAGAGTATCATCCGGATATGCCAAGGTTATGGGTCCAATTCCTGGTCAGGGCACATATAAGAATCAACTAGTGAATGCATAAATAAATGGAATAATAAATCAATGTCTCTCTCAATTCAAAGATTAAATGGTGCTTTAATAAAATGTTTGCATAAATAGCCACAGCAATCTTGAAAAAGAAGAACAAAGTAGGAGGGATCACAATACCGGATATCAGGTTATAATACAAAGCCAGTGTAATCAAAACAGCCTGGTACTGGCACAAGAACAAGCATATAGATCAGTGGAACAGAACAGAGAACCCGGAAATTAACCCAAGACATTCTGCTCAATTAATATTTGACAAAGGTGGCAAGAGCATACAATGGAGTAAAGACAGCCTCTGTAATAAATGATGCTGGGAAAATTGGACAGCTACATGCAAAAAAAAAAAAAGAAAGAAAACTAGACCACTAACTTACACCACACACAAGAATAAACTCAAAATGGATAAAAGACTTAAATGTGACTCGTGAATCCATAAAAATCCTATTAGAAAATGTAGGCAGCAAAATTTCAGATGTCACACGCAGAAGAACTTTCACTGATACAATGCCTAAGGCAGAGAAACAAAGGAAAAAATTAATACATGGGACTACATCAAACTAAAAAGCTTCTGCACAGCAAAAGAAACCAGCATCAAAATAGAAAAGGAACCCACTACAGTGATACCTCGGTTCTCGAACGCCTCGGTTTTCGACCAAATCGGTATTCGACCAGGAGATTCGAGAAACTTTTGTCTCGGAATCCGAACAAATATTTGGAACTCGAACTTCCGAGATGAGCCGAGTTGAGCCGAATGGCGTTCATTCGGCCCAGCGCGCCTTGCTTGCGTCATCAGTGTGAGTGCAGAGAGAGAGTCACGCTTTGTGGAGTCACGCTTTCCTATTGGTTTCATTGCTTCGGTTCTCGAACAATTCGGTTCTCGACCGTCCTCCTGGAACGAATTATGTTCGAGAACCGAGGTATCACTGTACATGGGAGAACATAACTGCCAACGATACATCAGATAAGGGGTTAATTCCCAAAATATATAGAGTACTCATACAAGTCAACAAAAGGAATCTAAGAACCCAACTAAAAATGGACAGAGGACCTAAATAGACACCTCTCTAAACAGGATATACAAATGGCCAAGAAATATGTAAAAAATGTTCAATGTCACTAATCATCAGAGAGATGCAAATTAAAACAACTAGGAGGTATCACCTCACACCTGGCAGAATGGCCGCCATCAACAAATCATCAAACAAGTGTTGGCGAGGGTGTGGAGAAAAGGCGACTCTAGTGCACTGCTGGTGGGAATGCAGACTGGTGCAGCCACTATGGAAAACAATATGGTGTTTCCTCAAAAAACTAAAAATTAAACTGCCATTTAACCCAGTGATCCCACTTCTAGGAATATAGCCTAAGAAGCCTGAAACACCAATCAGAAAGAATATATGTACCCCCATGTTCATAGCAGCACTATTTACAATAGCTAAGATCTGGAAACAACCCAAGTGTCCATCAGTAGATGAGTGGATAAAAAGCTGTGGTACATGTACACAGTGGAGTACTATGCAGCTGTAAGAAAGAAAGATCTTGGACCTGGAGAGTGTTATGCTAAGTAAAATAAGCCAGTTAGAGAAAGACAAGTATCACGTGATCTCACTTATTTGTGGAATATAATTAACAAAATAAGGTGATGAACAAAAGAGACCCAGAGAAATAGAAGTAGGGTACAGACTGACAAACTTCTGAGGAGGGAGCAGGGGTGGAGGTGGGGGATAAACCACAGAATTTAGGCATATAAGCACATCCAATGGACACAGACAACAATGCTGGGGGTTGGGGGAGGGGTGGGAATGGGAGGAGGGTGTCAATGGGGGAAAAAGGAGAAACATCTGTAACAAAAATTAATTAAAGAAAAATAAAAATAAATTAATTAAATAAATGCTTCCATTGCTCCACAAAACTTAGGTTCAAGATGCATCATGATTTATTTCTTTGTGTTTAAATGTTTTTAAATGCTACTATACTATACATATATATGTATAGTATAGAGTATACATATGTATATATATATTTTTTTTTTAATCCAAGGACATATTTTTATTTTTTATTGACTTTAAGGAAAGGAAAGGGGGGAGAGAGAGAGAGACATTGATCAGTTGCATCCCATGCACACCCCGACCAGGAATCTAACCCACAACCCAGCCATGTGCCCTGACTGGGAATCCAACCTACCACTTTATGCTGTGCAGACGATGCTCCAACTAACTGAACCACCCAGCCAGGGCTGTATCATACTTTAAAATCTGTTAAGGTGGATCTCATATTAAATATGCTTACCATAATAATAAAAAATATATTTGTAAATGGTTGAATACTGAAACACCCACAATATTATCTGTGCAAGACATAAATACAATAAACGTGCTTGGTACCCACCGTGGTGCCCATGTGTCGTGCTTTCCGGGTTGCAGTTAGAGCATGTGAGTGAGCCAGCCGCTCCCAGGGGTCTCGAGGGGACACCAGCACAGGCCAGGGCCTGGGCGGTTCTGCGGAAGCAGCAGCTTCCGGATACAGCAGACCTTGGGGTCTGACGCCCCAGACTTACAGCAAGCTGACCTGAAGTCAGCACCTTCGTCTTCAGTGAAGCAACAGCTGCCACTGGGGCCGCACCCATGGGCTCCAGGACATGCCTGTGCCCCTCATTTGAAGCCACATTTCCAGCGATGGGGAGTCAGAGCCTGAGAAACCGGTTAGAATAATGACGGGTGATGGCATCAAGCTGCGCCACCACTCTACGGCGAGATGTCTCCCTCTCCAGCCCTCAGAACCCCCTCCCTCTTACCCACCGGACACGATCTGACCCTCTCGCCCGCACACCCGGCTGTAGGTCATCTTGACTGTGCAGAGTACTGGGAGCAGTCCTGGAAGAGTTCCTACCCCACGAGCCCGGCCTGGTGTTGCTAGTCACCACCGGCCGTGTCTAGGCTGCTGTGATGCTCGTCTGCCATCTGGAAGCCAACGCCAAGCCACCCGCCCTCGAGGTGCTGTCTGGCCCCAGTAAGACCACAACTCCTCCTTTAATTGTTCAAAAGACAGCTGACGCTGTAGTTTTTGACAAGAACTACCGCAAGTGAGGCTACCACGAGGAAATTAGCAACATGGGGAAATAACTAAAATTGGGCAGTCCCATGTCCTTCGAATCCTTGGCCACACACCTTCATGGGGGGTCGATGACTAGCATCTTCCTCTTAGGCCCCAAACCACCATTCGGATGCAGACACCTACTCCTCCAGATGACTGTCCCCCCAGAGCTGCTCCCCTCTGTGAACTGTGGCTCCCATGCCCCCTCTCCAGCTCCCAACAGAAGAGACTAACCTCGTAATTCTCTCTGCAGTTTTACTCTCCCCACCTGCTCTGTTTTAGGATCTGACCCGGGGAGTATGCCTTCCAGCTTTGACAGTTTATTTATTTAGCTCCCAGGTTCAAATGCAGATCCTCCCTCTGATTGCACCAGCCCTGAAACAAGCCATCCCTCACCGGGGACCCAAACCAGGTACAAACGCTTGTACGGAGCTCACCCTGCTGAATTCAGTCAGTTCTCATTTGTTCCTATTATAAACAATATCGAATATCCTAAAAGCTAAATCTCACACGTGTGCTACCCTTTCCATCTTGCTGATGCAAAGAGTGATTTCAATCACTCATCCAATATGGAACTCACCGCTGGGCACTCTTCTAGGTCTGAATATACCATGAGGAGCATAAACACTCCCCAACCGCACAGCCCTCCTGTCTTATGGGAAAGACAAACAAGGAGATAACCTTAAACTGCAACCGTGTTAAATGCAGAGGGAAGAGCGTCCCTAACCTACGGCTGAGATCTGGTGACTGTGTGTGAATGAGTTCCAAGCCAAGAGCAGCAGTTTCAAGCCCCGGGGCTGGAAGAGTGCTGGAGTCATGGCAACCAGCTGAAACAGGGGTGTTAAGGGGAGCACAGACAGAAAGGGTGCAAGCGCCCAACCTCTCAAGACTTCGTAAGTCACGTTAAGAAGTTTGATCTTTACTAGAATAGGATGACATTGAATGATTCTGTGCAATTTGAAAATCTGATACTTAGTGGATGGGCTATATACTATTTTACATTCCCCTATAGCTCCACCAGCACGGAGTATTATCTTACCAATTTGATGGTTTTAACTTGTACACATCACATTTTTTTCATGTGTATTGCCCGTGCTTGTATGTTATGTAATGTTTGTGACCTCCCCCTCCCCAATCCTAGCCCCCAATGTGACAGGATTCGGAGGGGAGGTCTTTGGGAGGTATTTAAGGTGTGAGGGTAGAGCCCTCATCAATAGCATTAGTGCCCTTATAAGTGCAGACAGGAGAAACCTTGCCTCAGCTCTATGCAAATCAGGAAGTGGGCCTTCACCAGACACCAGATCTGCCAGCACCTTGATCTTGGGCTTCCCAGCCTCGAGAACTATGAGAAATAATGTTTATTGTTGAAGTCACCCAGTCTGCGGTGATCTGTTATAGCAGCCCAAGCTGACTGACAGGATGCCTGTCCATTCCTACTGGGGCACTGCACACACACACACACGCTCTGTATGATTCCATTTATAATAACGTTTTTGGATTTACATATATTTATTACAAATTTCTCTTTATTGTGGAAAGTATTACAGATGTCCTTCCATACTTCCCCCACGGACCCCTCCCCAACTCCCCCGCCACCCAGCCTTCACTGGGCTATTACTGTCTGCAGCCATCGATGATGCTCATATGCACATCAGTTCTTTGGTTTATTTCTTCCTGATCTCCCTCCCTCCTTCCCTCCGAATGACCTATTACCTTTTCTGTAATCTTCTTTTCCTGTTTGGCTTTTAATTATTTATATCAAAACATTATAAACAAGCAACCTTCTTTTTTTTTTAGCGATAAAGGTATTTTCTGACCCCAATATTATATAGGTATTCATCTATAATTTCTATTAGTATTTGTGGTTCAACTGCTCATATTCAATCATGATGTCTTGATTGACATCTATGAACAGAAACCTAGTATTACTTTTCAAAAGGTAAACCAGTGGTTGCCTTGGAATGTCACCGTTATTATTATAAGTAAACAACCCAGAGAATAATTCATGGCTGTTTTCTTAATCTACCATTTTGTTCTAGCGTAACTGTAATACATTCCATGAGACGGAGCTCATCCTTGGTAAGTCTTCTCCATCCTCATTTATTCCATTTTAATTAACTCCCCTGTAAGAAACATATTCCTTTTATATGAAATACTGAATTGGCTTACACAGGGATTATTATTTTTTAACTATTGAGGATTTGGACCACCTGAGAACTAGGAGGTGTCCATCTGGAATGGAACAAGGTGAAAATTCCCAACATCCACTTACCTTCATAATGATTTTTGCACATAATGCATATATTACTAAAGAGTTTAAGCAAATATGCCATTAAGACAGTTTATCATAACTGACCTTTTATTTTAAAAAATTACAGGGAATGATTTCCAACATATCTTATTTTATAAAAGTACTGCTTATATCAAACATTTTATATCACTATTAATTCCATTGAAGAGCTGCCTTTTTTTAAGGTACTAATTCCAATTGATGGGACACTTGCCCTTAAAATAGAAATTTCCATTATTTATTCAAATGTCAAAATTAAGATTATTGAGAAGTTTATTGCTTTATGGCTGGGCAAGATACTACTAGCACATTTTAGGTAAATAATAATCTTTTTTAAAACTATGAGGTCATTCTGTTTAAAACTTTTAGAATTATTCACAGAAAATAGATAATATTTATTCAGTTACACACTGAAGGGCTGGGCTATCATAGACACATATATAAAGCAGCTCTTTAAAGAAATAAGATGCACATACAGGTCTGTCTGGTATAATCCACATAATTGAAATTAATAAACCTGGAAGACCAGTATTGTTACACTATGTTCTGTTAGGATATTTAAAAAAAAAAAAAATCACACATTTAGTAGTCCATTTGTGCTTAAACTATTCATATGCATGAGAAGCTTAAAGAAAAACACTTCTGTACATGATGATGAAAAGAAAGTAAATTTTTTGAAATTGCACTGTTATTTAAATCACGTTCCAAAGGCCAGACCCTCCTTGGCAGCTGGCAGAGTTTTCAGGTCTAATTGGCAACCTGGGGAGGCCCCTCCGGTATCAGTGAAGTGAAGAAGGTGGTGATAAAAGACCACGCGGAGGCCGCCAGCCCAGGTCTCTGCAGTGCACTGGCCTCTTCGCCTGCATCTTCTCCACTCTCATCCTCAAGCCCGTCATCCATAAGACGCTCCTTCCAAACAAAACAGGGAAGACACTCCTGAGTGACAGAGCGAGCACGGACTCATGACAGAAAAGGAGAGCAGCCCTTCCCTACAATAAGGACTGTGAGACCGAAATAAGAAAGTGGTCCATATCTGGTTATGAGAAATCTTTGCTAAATCCAAAATTGATAAATTCCTTGGTGTTTGAATTCAAAGGGACAACTGCCAATATAATACAATAAACTCTCGCGATGTGCATAATTTTCTTTCTGGGCTATTTTAAGGAAGGGTATTAGGTCTTTCCACTTAATTCTAATTTGACTAAGTTCTTCCAGATGAAACCACACAATTTATGTTATCTTTTCTTCATGTGTTATTCCACAAATAACATGGAACATCCCAAGATTCTTTATCATGTTGACCTCATATAACGCTGAGGACACAGCTACACTGAAAGTGCACCTCTCATTAGCATACCATTTCTTCGAGTTCCAGGTTGTTTGCGTTCTGCCCATCATTAACTTCAGCATTGTTGTTGGGAGCCTGCTGCTGACCCCCTTCTTGCCTAAAAGGAAACCATCCAGCTTGGTGTCTGTTTGGTAAAATAAAGAGTAAAGTAAATTAAGTCACAACTGTTTTTATCTGTAAAACTATAAAACATCAGTGTCCTACAAGAGAAAATATCAAATGAAAAGGCCATACTGCCTACTTTGGGCTGAGTACTCCTCTCAAAGCAATAACAGCAACACAGAAATGAATTTAAGTCAAAAAATCTATCATGGGCTTAACAGCTCTACACTAGACATGAAAGATGTCAGGAGCTGCAAAATCGCTTCTGCTACATTTCAAAATGAAATTCAACTTCATGAGTTGTTTGCCTCTTGGGGAGCCAGGGGGCAAGGCAAAGTTAGTCTACTTATGAAGAAAAAAATCTGACCTGTGCCTATAGAACTTACTACTGATAACTGTAATTAAAAAGAACATCCTTGTAAAAAATGAATCATATACTTCCTTAAATTCTAAATAACTGATGGAGCATATCTAGCTGAATTAACAAGTTTTTATAAATGACAATAAAGGGAAAATTTGCTTCTAGACAATTCTAATAAATGTTCTCACTCAACATAACCTGGTTTGCTTCTGATGCCATACCTATGACACTCAACATTCATATTCCCGCATCCAACATCCACAACAGACACCACAGGCCAGGTTCTATGCTGAACAGTTTCAGAACGTCACTAAAAGAAACTACAGAAAGGTAAAGAAATTCACTCACAAATAAACCAGCAGCATGGCTCCCATGACCATGACAAAGCGGCTAAAAGAAGAATAGAAGTAGACAATGCTAAGGAGAATCGCAGCTCGTGAGAACGTGTACATCCAGTCTAGCCAGTCTCGATTGAAGTCTTCTTCGTTCAGCACTGGACCCCCTTGTGCATTCATCTGAACATTCTCATTCATGGGTCGGTTTTCTTGGGCCACTCGGTTGGGGACTGGAGGGGGTTCTTCTCTAGGAACATGTGCCAAGTTTAAAGGCTGTGAAGGCGCCGGCTGGGTGGCGGTGGCATCTGATGTGGCCTGAGCTGAAACTGCAGCTTGGCTGGAAGAGTCACCAAAATAAATATTAAAAAGGAAGGAACTTTATCACACTATATATTTTTCAAAACTTCCTGGGTGAGCCATATGTACTTTTCATAAACCTGATATGGATTATCGCTACCCTGCCCCCATTCCTTAGGCAAGCACACATCTCAGTGGAAAGTGAGACGAGATTATGGCGAGAGTAGCTCAGGGGAGGGTGCTTAGGCTGGCTGGGGAAGGGAGGAAGAACAGCCCTGTGCATCACTCTTTTCTCCCTAGCACTAAATACTTCGTACAGTAATGACCAGGTCTCTTTGCAGCCTCTTCACTAATGGCCCCTTTAGTCATTCGCATGGAATGAACACCCCACACCCACCACCTCTGCCCCAGACCCTGGTTTCAAAAGATTTGTCTTTAAATACACTGGTCATTACCCTGTGTGTCCACTCTCAGCGATAATGATTTGTATTAGTATTTTAAGATATCAACTAGACTCCAAATAACAACCCCTCAAACCCAATCCTGACTTCTGAGAACTCCATCTGAGGATCACTGGCATAGGTCCTGAAGTATGCTTATAATTTAATTCCTTGAAAATCAGAATAAGTTTTCCTATAATATGCTACCAGTGAAATGACAATATATCTGGAATATAAATTATCTAGCATAGGGGGAAAAGTTATAGAACAAGATTGCCATGAACTGATAAATGCTGAAACTGGGTGATGAGTACACAGTGTTCATTTTACCATTCTACCTTTGTATATGTTGAAATTCTTCTATAATCAAAAGTTTAAAAATCGAGATAGCAAAATAACATAAAACATAAGTTTCCTAGGCTACAAAAGCCAATTTAAGTTTTCTCCTCTTATATATGAATGCTTTTTCCTTTAGCCAATTGATTTTTTAATTTTTTCATTTTATTTTTTCATCTTCTTTTATCCCCCCATACCCTCTTCCGCCGTCACCCACTCGCCTCCCCGCCCCCGAGCAATCATCACTGTTGTCCATGCCCACCAGTTCTTTCTTCGTGCTCAATCCCTCCACCCCCCAGCCCACCCCGAACTGTCAGCTTGCTCTCTACCCGCGCGTCTGTCTCCATCTTGATTGTTCATTTAGTTTGTTTACATTCCACATGAGTAAAATTATGTGGTACTTGTCTTTCTCTGACTGGCTTATCCACTTAGCATAATGCTCTCCAGGTCCATCCCTGCCATCACAAAGGGTACATTATTTCTTCTTTTTTATGGCCAAGGAGTATTCCATTGTGTAAATGTACCATTCACTCATCTACCAACAGACACTTGGGCTACTTTCAAATTTTGGCTATTGTAAATAACACTGCAATGAACACAGGGCTGCATATATTCTTTCAAATTAGTATTTTGGGTTTTTTCGGATGAATTCCCAGAAATGGAATCTCTGGTCATAGGGCAGTTCCCTTTTAAATTTTCTGAGGTACCTCCATACTGCTTTCCACAGTGGAAGCACCAGTCTGCATTCTCACCAAGAGTGCAGTGGGGCTCCCTTCTCCCCACATCCTCACCAGCACTTGGTATTTGTTGATTTAATGATGACAGCCATTCTGACAGGTGTAAGGTGGTATCTCATTGTGGCTTTAATTTGCATTTCTCTGATTAGTGACAGTGAATATCTTTTCGTATGTCTATTAGCCATCTTTATGTCCTCTTTGGAGAAGTGTCTATTCAGGTCCTTTGCCCATTTTTATTTATTTATCTTTTTAGTGGCTTATAGCAACTCATGTATTAAGTCACAGTTCTGTATGTCAGAAGTGCAGGTGCAGCTCAGCTAGATCAGCTACAGAGGGGCTCCCAAGGTGAAATTTACGTGTCAGCTGGGGCTATGGTATCATCTGAAGTCTGGAGTTCTCTTCTAAGCAAATTTAGGCTGTTAGAAAATTCATTTTCTTGTGGTTATACATCTGAAGTCCCAGTCTGTCATGCTGGGTGACAGTCAAGAAAGTAGCCTCATTTCCTAGAGGCCACCCTTAGGTCTTATCCAATGTGGTGGCCTCCTTACAACATGCTAGCTTCCTTCTTGAAGGCCCACAGGAGACGCTCAGACTTCTTGTAAGAGCTCACCTTATTAGGTCAGGCCCACCCAGCACAGTCTCTCTGTTGATACTCAAAGTCAGCTCATTAGGAAACATAAATGCCTCTAAAATTCCATTCACTTTGCCATATAATATAGTCTAATTAGGGGCATATCATCTGGGATTATTTGGCCTGTGGTGACTAACTGTTTAAAATAGAACACTATAAACATGACCCCATAAACAAATGACTGTAATAAAATTTTATAATCATCTATATAAACTTTAAATTTTATATCACTTTATAAGTTACGAAGTACTTGTAAACATTCTGCATCCTTTATTTTTATGACTACCTGTCAGAGAGGCACAGTAGGTATTAGTCCAATGTTGCAGGTGGGAAAAACCAAGGCTCAAAGCCGCTAGGAGACGCCCACAGCTTTATGGAACAGTAGTAGTGGAGTGGGCTCAGCTCGAGGTCTTTTCATCCTAGTCCGGTCCCCTGGTTTGCTAGTCCTGTAGTTTTCAAACTGTGTCCGGTGAGGTTCCAAGAAGACATCCGGGGAGTACTGCAAGAACTGAGGATGGCACGAAGAAGGTAGGGCTGCCCTGGTGGTTTGGCTCAGTGGTTAGAGTGCCGGCCTGCAGTCCAGAGAGACCCGGGTTTGGTTGCCGCTAAGGGCATGTACCTCGGTTGCAGTTTGTCCCTGGCCCTGGTTGGTCATGTGGGTGGCAGCCACTCGATGTGTCCCTTTCACGTCGATGTTTCTCTCTCCCTCTCTTCCTCTCTCTCCCTCCCACTCTATCTGAACAAAAAATGGAAAAATGTCCTCGGATGAGGATAAAAAAGTAGGTAGGGCTAAGGGTTGATATGGCAGCCCTACTTCTACTTGTTCTATACGTTGGGGGTTCTTCATAAGCTTTAATAACCACTGCACTGCCCGGCCGGTGTGGCTCAGTGGTTAAGCGTTGACCCACGCACCAAGAGGTCGCTGGTTCGATTCCCGGTCAGGGCACATGCCCAGGTTGTGGGCCTGACTCCCAGTGCGGGGCATGCAGGAGGCTGCCAATTGATGTTCTCTCTCATCGATGTTTCTCTCTCTCCCTCTCCCTTCCTCTCTAAAATCAATAAAGAAAAAAAATTAAAATAAATAAATAACCACTGCACTGCACCGCACCATGCTGCCTTGTTAAAGGTAGAAAGAGAATGCTTACTAAAAGCATTTTAGTCTAAACAATGTTTCTGACAGCTGTATGTAAAAAAGCCAAGAGTCTCTTCTACTAAAGTTTTAAGAAGCCGTCATTTCTTGCAGCAGCTGTTGGACCTTTAGTATCTGGCCTCTTATTTTCCTTTTCATTCAGACACTGACTGGTTTGCCCATTTTTTAATTGGATTGTTCTCTTTTTTTTGGTGCTGAGCTTTATAAGGTCTTTATAAATTTTGGATATTAACCCCTTATGAGATGTATCAGCAAACATGTTTTCCCATTCAGTGGGTTGTCTTTTCATTTTGTTGGTTTCCTTTGCTGTGCAAAAACTTTAGTTTGACATAGTCCCATTTGTTTATTTTTTCTTTTGCTTTCCTTGTCGTAAGAGATATAGCAAAAAAATATTGCTACAGGAAATGTCGAAGATTTTACTGCCTATTTTTTCTTTTAGGATTTCTGGTTTAGAGTGTAACATTTGAGTCTAATCAATTTTGAGTTTATTCTTGTGTGTGGTGTAAGGTGTTCTAGTTTCATATTTTTGCACACATCTGTCCAATTTTCCCAACACTGTTTATTAACTAAACTATCTTCAGCCCACTGTATGTTTTGCCTCCTTTGTCAAATATTAATTGACCATAAAGACACTGGATTTATTTCTGTGCTTTCTACTCTGTTCCATTGATCTATATGTCTGTTTTTATGCCAAGAACATGCTGTTTTGATTACTATGGCCTTGTAGTTGATATTAGGTAGCGTGATTCCTCCACCTTGTTCTTCTTACTCAAAATTGCTGTTGTTATCCAGGGTCTTTTGTGGTTCCATATAAATTTTTAGAATATTTGTCTAGTTCTGTGAAATACGCCATTGGTATTTTGATAGAAATTGCGATGAATCTGTATATTGCTTTGGGTATTATGGACATTTTAATGATGTTAACTCTTCCTATCCATGAACAAGGTATATGCTTCCGCTTATTTGTATCTTCTTATATTTCTTTCTTCAGTGTCTTATAATTTTCTGAGTACCAGTCTTTTATATCCTTGGTTAAATTTATTCCTAGGTATTTTATTCTTTTTGAAGCAACTGTGAATGGGATTGTTTATCTTGGTTTCCCTTTCTGATAGTGCACTATTAGTATACAAAAATGTAACTGATTTCTGGATATTTATTTTGTATCCCTCCTATTTTCCTGAATTTACTTATCAGTTCTAGTAGTTTTTTGGTGGTGTCTTTCAGGTTCTCTATATATAATATCATGTCATTTGCAAATAATGAGTTTTACTTCTTCCTTTTGAATTTGGATGGCTTTTATTTCTTCTTCTTGTCTGACTGCTATGGTTAGGACTTCCAGTACTATGTTGAATAAGAGAGGTTAAAGTGGACATCCCTGTCTTATTCCCAAACTTAAGGGGAATGCTTGAAGTTTTTGCCCAGTGAGCATAATGCTGGCTGTGAGTTTGTCATATATGCCTTTATTACATTGAGGTATGTTCCCTCTATTCCCACTTTGCTGAGTTTTTATCATAAATGGGTGCTGGATTTTATCAAATGCTTTTTCTACATCTATTGATAGAATCATGTGGTTTCTAGCCTTCATTTTGTTTATGTGGTGTATCACATTTGATTTGTGGATAGTGTACCAACTCTGCATCTCCAGAATAAATCCAACTTGATGGTGGTGCATGATCTTTTTACTGTATTGCTGGATTCAGTTTGCTAATATTTTGTTGAAAATTTTAGCATCAATGTTCATCAGAAATACAGCAATGAATTTTTTTAAAAAGTATCTGCTAAGATGTCTGTGAGCTCTTTCTCATAATAATTTTTATTTTTTGTTATTTTTTTAATCCTCACCCAAAGATACTTTTACATTTATCTTCAGACAGAGTGGAAGGAAGAGAGAGAGAAACATCGATGTGAGAGAGACACATCGACTGGTTGCCACCAGCATGACCCAACCAGGGCCGGGGATGAACCACTACTGAGGTACGTGCCCTTGGCTGGAATCGAACCCGGGACTCTTTGGTCTGCAGGTCGATGCTCTAACCGCTGAGCCAAACCGGCCAAGGCTCTCATAATAATTTTTAAAAGACAATGAAATACATCAGTAAATGCAATCCCAAATCAAGTTACTTAGGATAAAAACAGAAAATAAAGCAAATAACACAGTGAGTCAGGAAAGGAACTGAAGTTCACTTACTATTGCATATAATACTGGTGAGCATACATCTGCTGCCACCACAGCACCTGCAGCGGGCTGAATGCGGGGTACCCTGGGAATCCGGCTGGAACAGCCTCCCCAGGAAGCTGGTTGTCTACATTGCTACCATAAAAGATAAAGATACGTCTTTGAATGCTCTAAAAGTTGAAAGCATTTCCCTAAATTTGCATTTCTGAACTACAAGTCATCCTGCTGAATCAGAACCTGTATCTTGAAACAAGATCCCCAGGTGATAATCACAAACATTACAAACTAAAAAATATGGCCCGAGATGATTCTGACACATGATCAGCTTTCACCAGCACTACTCCACTTAACCCTCTAATTCTCAAAATATGCAATCAGGTACAGGGGTAAATTTCAAACGCACTTGGCTACTGCAGAGGGCTGCCGCTGAAGGTCACGGAAACGTGTGTGAAGGCCCACAACCGCCCGAACCCACGCGCCTTGCCTTACGTACGGGAGCTGAGGGCCCTGCGCAGGGTCGGTCTGCGCCGGAGGGAAGGTGCGCTGCCTCAGCCCCGAGGCCGAGCTGACCGCCAAGGGCAAGGGTTCTCGACCGGGTGACGGAGTTGATGCTCCTGACTGATCTGAACTCTGCAAACAGAAATGTAACTGTTTTTCCAAGAAGGTTTAATTCATTACAATCATGAGATTATAGACACATTTATGAAAACCCTCTGCAAAGAGTGAATTTTAGGAATTTACTAATTTGAATCTTGTGCCCAGCATAAGTAGATACTTTAATTCTGATTAGACTAAAGAATTCAGAAAAATAAAAATTGCTTAATTATACAACAGTTCATCTACCAACTAGAAAAGGCTAAGTAGTGAGTAATTGTATACAAAAAAGAACATACAACATTGTGAGCATTAAACTGCATATAGTCTTTCACAATCCCTAAAACACTGAAAGTGCTCAATAATGCCACCAACTACTTACTGTGTCATATAAACAGTTACTATGTGCCAAGTACTATATAACATGCTGTCTGTAACACACTGGTTTAAAACGAGGAACATGCTAGGAATCAGAAGATCTAGAATCTGGCATTATCTCTTGACATTAACAAAGAACATTAACCTTAAATTTTCCTTTAACCTCCAAGTCTCAGCTTTCCGACAAAAAATAAGGTTGAACTACATTTTCAAGAGTCCTTTCAGTTCTAAACTTCTGTTAGTTTATAGATACCACCAACAAATACTGTTTGTTTGTTTGTTTTTAATGAACAAGATACCAATGAGGATTTTTAAATTCTCATGCTCCAATGATGTCAGTAATTCACCAGACTCAACAACCTTAAACAATATAACCCCTTGAAGACTACCCCAATTTATTGCTTTTTGAAAATAGTTTATTAAGTGTCTTATGTAAATTTTAAAAAACAATTATATTTTATATAAATTATAGTTCTTCCACTTAAAAACACCTGGGTACAATATAATTTGCACATCCTTCCAGGTTTGTTAAAATTGTATTTTAGCTGCACTGCCTTCCTACTGACAGGATGTCTTTTTAGTGTGTCTACCTTCCTAAGTCCTGCCATGGAAAAAGTCCCAAGGATACTGGTCTTTGCAAAACTAACAGAAGCTTTCTTCAGATGTTACTTCACACAAAACAGATACCAAATATCTTACTAGGGAGTCTGATTCTTAGGGACATTACTCAGAAAGGCTTCCTTTTTGGCAAAATATCTTATTAAATGGACCGTAAAAAGGTGGTTAATTGAAAATTAACATAAGAAAGACCTAGTCATTTGGCAGCCCAACCTAATTTCTCTAGAACTAAGGATTCCTGACTTTATCAGATAACTCTTTCCATGATTAAATTTTTAAAACATTTTCAAATCCCACTGAAATTTGTCAGTCATAAAACATTACAGGGAATTCAACTTAATTTTCCTCTGATACATAATACACCTTGAAAAACTGAATACACACACACACACACACACACACACACACACACATGACAGGAAATCATGGCTGAGGAACCACTAGACAAGGCAGAGGATTCTTTCTCAACAAAAACGGGAGCGACACAGCTGTGTCCAAAGACTGCGTACAGAACTTCATGCAATGCCCAGGTCTGTCCCTTCAGGTGCAGGGTGGGACACAAATCCAGGCCCTTGGGTTTACTGACAAAACATTTCAGTTTAATGAAAGCTAAATTCCTACTACTGGTACTAGAGAATACTTACCACTGAGGCCACCCTAATTAAACACAGCAAGTAGAGGATCTAGTTCTTAACGAAGTAGTTAACTAGTACCCACTGGGAGGGGGCACCCTTCCCTCCCGTTCGGCTGGGTTCTCACGAGGAGGAGAGCACACGCGGCCGTGTGAGAAAGCCCTGCCCACGTGCCGAGCAAGCTTCCACTCACCCTTTGCTCTCACCTTCAAGGTGTCATATAAAGCTTTTATGCGAAACCAAAAATAACGAAAAGAAGTTGGGACAGTGTCTTTAAAACTTGTAGAGAATGTCTAAGTAGAAAAGTTTAACCATTAAGAAAAATTTCCAGAACAATTTTAGGTAAATGAAAAATAGAGCAGGAGAAAGGCAAACCCAAGTCTGAAAGAGCCGAGTGGGTAAGTCGCGTTTCCTCCTGCGGTTGGAATGTACGCCCAAATCCAGTCCTTTGAAAACATAAAATTCCTGACCAACAATCTACTTCAAGAAGATTTAGCATACTTAAAATGTAAATAATTTATTCCACCTTGAATAATATACTATATTCAACACCTTAAATATTTCTGAAACTTTGCTGGCCTTAGAGTTTATATTATATAACTATATCGTAATTCTGTTTTCTTAGTATTTCAATAATTAAACCCCTGAAGATTAATTAGATCTATTACTGACTACATACAGCAAATTATATATAACTTGTGGGGAACAGGCTTCAAGGGGTAACACTGTATATGGATTTCTAAAAACAAAGTTTAAACCTAACTCAAGCCATTCAAAACACAACCTCACAACCCACAAGTTCCCACAGTTCTGTCTTCTCACTTAGCTTTTAGAGGCAAAACTGGGGTAATCAGTCAACATTTACGCTTTTCGAACCGACTCACAGAATTGCTGCTGGATGCCAATGCTTCGTGACTTTCTCTACTGGTGCTGGATTTTGGAGAACTGGGAGGAGTCCGAGAAGTACATACTAGATGAACCATATGATACTCATCTTGCTAAAATTAAAGAAGATTACATTTAAAGGGTATTACTCGAAATCTATATACAGTCAAAAAGTCAGCAGCAGCTAAGCTGAAATACTTAACTCAAAACTTAAGTTCCTTAACTAGCATAGCCATTTATTAGTAAGAAATCGTTGTCATTTGAAAGTAAATTTATCATTTTAGAATTGGAGCCCTTTTAGTCTGTATTTTCTCCATGCTTGGCAAATGGTCTAAATATTCAGTAATTGCTATATGGAAAAGGATCCCTTTGTATGTGAAGGAGTCTTAAAGCAGTGTTGTAAAGTTGTGTCGATGCAATGTATTATTTCAATATAAAAACATCAAACACATACCCGGCCAATGCGGCTCAGTGGTTGAGCGTCAACCCATGCACCAAGAAGTCACCGGTTTGATTCCCCATTAGGGCACATGCCCAGGTTGTGGGCCCAATCCCCAGTGGGGGGCGTGCAGGAGGCGGCCAATTGATGTTGTCTCTCATCGATGTTTCTCTCTCTCCCTCTCCCTTCCTCTCTAAAATTAATAAAGAAAATAAATAAAAATTAAATTAAATTAAGACATTGAGCACCTTAATATCAGAACTATAATAGTCATAATGAGGCTTAGACCTGCAAACTAAGTAGTAAAATATTTTCATTACTTAGACCTTGCAGCTATAATAAAGAAATTCAACTTCACCATAATCTCATTTCCCTTAATTTTATCAAGGGTGATGTATAGTTTTTTTTTTTTAAGTCAAATACTGGTTTCGCCCTGGCCGTTGGTCTCAGCGGTTAGAGCATCAGCCTGCACACAGAAAGGCCTCAGGTTCGACTCCTAGTCAACGGCACACACCTGGATTTAGGTTCCATCCCCGCCCCGGTTGGGGCACATGTAGGAGGCAACCACTTGAAGTGTCTCTCTCACATCAATGTCTTTCTCTTTCCCCCTCCCCCCCTCCCTCCCTTACACTCTCTCTAAAACTCAATGGAAAAAAATATCCTCAGGGAAGGATTAACAACAACAACAAAAAGCCTGATTTTATCTACAGTACTTACATTTAAATAAAGCATATATTTGAACTATAGTCTATAAGTATTCTGTGTGTTTCCATAAACCTACAACTATGACTGAAGAAAAATATTCTAACAATGATGAGAATTGACATTTTAGCTTAGCGATTACATGAGAGTATTTATACTTCGGCATGAAGCAAATAAATAAGATGGAGAAAGGAAAGAAAATAAAGGAGAGCAAAGAAGAACATGGGATAGCTCAGCAACTTAAAAAAAAAAAAAGGAAAGAAAAAACTAGACTATGATAAAGGAAAGGGGCAGGAGGGTAAGGAAGATGCCCAGGTACAAGAAAGAGAAAGAAAGCTTCTAGAAAACTACTAGAAACTAGGAATTTGTCAACTGCCTACCATCAACCTAGAATTGTACTTAATTCTGAGGTAAATCCCAAAAGGTAAGAGTCAGCCCGTCCCCTAAAGAGGCTCATGACACTGTTCAAAGATCAGACTAGTGCATTAGACACAACCAGAGACATATATAAAACGGTCTTTGGCACAGAACTGAGAAGCACAACTACAATGCGCTAGGAGCTTAAAGAAAAGGTTGATGGGGTAGAATCCTTCCAGACAGAGGCTGACATGATGTCCTAGCACAGCAGACAGAGGGCACTCCTGACTTACAATGTCCCCGCCCCTTAGCTTCAGGATACAGAACACTAAAGCGTCCAACTATAAGATGCTTACCCTTAGAAACCTAATTTCAAAGGTCGTATTAATCAAATTAACTCACAGTATTCATTCACCTTTGGGGGATGTTTCTGTAAAATAGTTTCTATCTAAATACGTAAAGCTAACGGCAGCCCTTAACTGAAAAAGAAGGGGTACGCTGACCTTAACGAAAACAGTTCAAAGCTCTATAAAATACAAACATGTTATTCAAAATGTTTTATAGAAGGGCCAAGAGTCCTTTGACTGAAACAATTTCATTTTACGTCTTCTGGTCGGAAACCACTTCCGCAGTGAGAGCCTTTTTTAAAGTATTCGTTACAAACCACCCATCTTTGGGTTAAAATGAGATAAATCTCTACTTCAGAGTATAGAGCAGGGAACAAATGAACAGGTGAGGCACGGAGGATCTTTAGAGTAGTGAAACTGTTCTGTGTGAGACTATAATGGTGACTACACGTCATTATACATTTGTCCGAACCCACAGAATGTACACCACCGAAAGGGAAGCCTAATGTAAAGTATGGACTCTGGGTGACAATGTGTCCATAATGTAGGCTCATCCACTGTAACAAATGTAGCACTCTAATATGGGAGGTGGTTAGTGGGGGAGCCTGTACAGGTGTGGGGGCAGGGGGTAAATGAGAAATCTCTGTCCTTCCGCTCAATTTTGCTATGAACCTAAAACTGTCTAAAAAAATTAAGTCTTAAAAAGAGAGAAAACCTGCTGCAAATTCCACTGTTTGGGGAAGAAAAAGAAGTTAACAAACAACCTTGGCAACTTGAAGATACATGATTAAAATAAAAATGACAGCAAGAAATCACACTGGCCAAGTTTCCCAGATGATCATCAGCAAAAAGGAGAGGACACAGATTTCCTAAGTCAGTCCAGAACAACATGAAGAGTTAAGTCAAAGATCTAAGGCAAAATATCAAAGCTATATATTCATAAACAAAAAGCAGCATCGCAAATGCAGAAAAGTTATAAAAGTATAAATTTCACAAATAAACATGAACTAAAAGCTGCCATTTAAAAAGCCAGCATATATTTTAGCTCTAAGCACCAGCATTCCAAGGTTGCTAACTGATGGACCAATTGGGCTTCCTCCTAATTCCTTGCCCTGAAATTAAACTCCTAACCCAAGCAACTTGTATTAAAATGTCATACGGTTTGGTCATAAGAGGATATGAGAGAGGAGACTGTTATCAGTGAAAATCCTTCACCACACCCTGAACACTACTCCTGCACTACTGATAAGTTGATAGTTTTCTTACACAAAATGCCAACTACTTGAACACAAGTATATAATCATAGTTCAGATTTAGCTATCAGTAGATATACAAACTACCTAAACTAATTGGAACCTATCATTATGTTCTTTACTTTCTATTTCTAGTTCATGTTTACACGTTATGCTACCCCAAAGGATTGATTTTAAGCATCTAAAAACTGAACTGATTGGAGATCGACAAAATTTCAGAACAAACCTTCTCTCATACTCTGACTGTGTCTGGTATCAAATAGTGGTAGAAATCTGCTTACTTTTCTGAGAATGTCTTTCAGCTGCAGATGATCGGGAAGCAGTCTGCCCGAATACACCAATCTCTGATCCTTCGTCGACTAAGAAATGGGACAAAGAAAAGAATTCAACTTTTTCTAATTATACAAAATAAAGATTGGGAATAACATGCCTAAATATGGGTAAAGTAAACTCCCTTTAGGCACAAATAAGCAGAAAACGGACATTAAGAATTTTGTTTTTCCAAATTATGCTTAAGACATTAAGAGCTCAGAAAATAGTAGCATATTTATTGTAGATATACTATTATACAGGTAATTAACATTTTTTTTTTATAACAGAAAAAAAAAGGTAAATTGGAAGTTTTTTCTTTTCAGCCATAATGCAATGTATATGTGACTATTATTTAAAAACCTTCTAATTATAGCACTGGCTGGTGTGGCTCAGCTGGTTGGAGCACTGTCCCATACACCAAAAGGTTTTGGGTCTGATTCCCAGTCAGGGCACATACTCAGGCTGCACGTTCTATCCCTGGTTGGGGTGTGTACAGGAAGTAACCAACTGACGTTTCTCTCTCACACTGATGTTTCTTTCTCTCTCTCTCCACCCTTCCTCCCTCTAAAATCAATTTTTTTAAAGTCAATTAAAAAAATAACCTCAAAACTATGAATGAGAAGGTGGCTGGCTTTCTATTAAAAGTCAAATGAGATAAAATTTCAAAGTCACCAGAGTTATTTTGCATTGTTTTTAATCTAAAAGTGTATGTAAGATTTATCTTCTTCTTCACTAACATCATGTAGAACAATTTATTGGTTTTAATTCAAGAGCCATTTGGATTTAGTAATAGCTTTAGGGAACTATTTCTAGTTTTTTCATTCCTACCACGCTCACGAATAGCTCTGTACATTTTTCAAAAACATGAGACTAAAGAAAAATCAACTCAACTGTATGGAGATTTAGTTGCCACTCTATAGGCAATGGATGGATGTTTCTGCCCTCCCCCCACCCTACCCCCAAAATTAAAAAAAAAAAAAACAAAAACAGTAAAACAATCAAGACCAGACCCTCTTTTGATTCCATCTCCCTGCTAGCCATTGCTCTATTTCTTTCCCTGTCCTTAGTGCAAAACTTGTAAGTTGTATATAGTCACTGTCTCTACTGTACTCCTTTCCTTTTCTCTGAGATCCATCCCAAATAAGTTGTTACCCTATTGTCCACCAAGACTGCTTTCATCAAGACCACTAGGGATCTCCATGGTGCAGGATACTCGAAGGGAGTACAGAAATAAATAGGAAAGTATGAAAGAAGAACACTGTGACTAATAACAAATGCCTGGAAATTCTCAAATATCCATTAGCACACTGTAGCACTTCTATATAATGGAGAAGTATGCACCTGTCAAGAATAAAGGGGAAGACACCCTAATACAACTACAGCATAATCTCCAGGGTATATTAAGTGAGAAGACAAGGCACAAAAGAGTAGGTAGAGTGTATTACTTTTTATGTAAGAAAAGAAGGAAAATACTTGTGTTTATTATATTCAGATTTGTTGCATTGTTAAAAAGAAATGTTGGAAGGGTAACTCGAAATTAGGGAGGGAGGGAACACTAGATTTAAATCGAATTCCTTACCATCGCCAGCCAGTCCTAGCAGATCTGGTTTCCTGCCTCTCTAACCTCTTCTGACGGCATTCTTCCTTCCTCGCTCACTAGCCAAACTGGCATTCACTTTGACCTCTAGTATGAACATGCCAAGCTCCTTCCCGACTCAGACACCCTACCTGCATATTCTCTCAGCTCTTGTGTGACTGGCTCTGAATCATCTTTTAGGTCTTAGCTTTACGATGACCTCCTCAGAGAGGTCTTCCCTGATTTACAAACTTCGAGCATTCCCTTTCATACACCATTTGTTTCCTTCATAACACAAACCACAATCTTAACTATGTCCACCTGCTTATTTTCCTAAGTGGAATACGAGTGCCAAAATCAAAGGGTCCATGTCTATCTAGTTCATCACTCTGTTCTCAGAGCCTAGCACTGTGACTGACAGATTAGATATTAAATGTCAATCTATCAAATGAAGTGGTATGAGTCCAAAAGTGTTCACACAGATTTGGATGCACAGCTCATTTGAAGTTCACTGTAACAGTTACTTTACATGTAATCATTAAGAACAGAAATGGCCCTGGCCAGTTTGGCACAACCATCGGCCTGCGGTCCAGAGACACCCGGGTTCGGTTCCCACCAGGGGTGCGTAATTCGGTTGCAGTTTGTCTCCGGCCCCAGTTGGTGTCATGTGGGTGGTGACCACTCGGTGTGTCTTTCTCACGTCAATGTTTCTCTCTCTTCCTCTCTCTCTCCCTCCCTCCCACTCTATCTAAAGATAAATGCAAAAAAAAAAAAGAACAGAAATGAAATATTTAGTCTATGAATCAAAACACTTGCTGGTGCCAAATCTGCCTACAAACAGTACTGATACTAGCAGATAGCTTCGAAGGAGCAATCGCATGTTAGTACCCTTTAGCTTTGCTCTAAGTTAGTAGTCAACTTCAAACAAACTTTTCTCTTTCCACAGCAAGGGAATATCAATTCAACTTTTAAAAAAGCAGAATACAGCATTATAACAAAGTTACATGGTACTTTCCCTAAAAAACACATGAAACAGAAACAGGTGTGGACCAATCTGGAATCCTCATACATTGCTGGTGGGAATGTAAAATGAACAGTCATTGTGGGGAAGTTTTGCATTTCCTCAGAAAGTTAAACATAGAGTCACCATATGATTCAGTATATACCCAATTCCTAAGTATATGCCAAAGAGAACTGAAAACATGCACACAGAATTTGTACAGGAATGTTCATAACAGCATTATTCATAATGCCGAAAAGTCAAAACAACCAAATGTGTATCAAATGATAAATGAATAAACAAAATGGGATAAATACGTATCATGGAATATTATTTGGCCATAAAAAGTAATGAAGAAGGGATATGTGCCATAACATGGATGAACCTTGTATACATGACAGTAAGTGAAGGGAGCCAGACACAAAGGCCACACATATACTATGATTCCATTTATATGAAATTTCCCAAATAGGCAAATCCAGAGACAAAGTAGGTAAGGGTTATCAAGGACTGGGGGTACAGAGAATGGGAAGTGACTGCTGGCGGGTATGGGGTTCCTTTTTGGGGAGATAAAAATATTCTGGAATTAGACAGTGATGATGATTGTGCAACTCTGTGAACTACTAAAAGCTACCAAGTTGTACACGTTAAAGGACACATTTTGCCCAGCCGGTGTGGATCAGTGGATTGAGCATCATCCCTTGGACTGAGAAGTCCCAGTTTGATTCCTGGTCAGGGTACATAGGTTGCGGGCTCCATCCCCAGTGGGAGGTTTGTAGGAGGCAGCTGATCTATGGTTCTCTCTCACATCAGTGTTTCTCTCTCTCTCCCCCTTCCTCTTTCTCTAAAAAATCAATAGAAATATATTTTTTAAAAGGGGGCAATTTTTTTTTTTTTATCCTCACCCGAGGACATTTTTCCATTTTTTGTACAGATAGAGTGGGAGGGAGAGAGAGGAAGAGTGAGAGAGAGGGAGGGAAACATCGATGTGAAAGGGACACATCAAGTGGCTGCCACCCGCACGACCAACCAGGGTCGGGGACAAACTGCAACCGAGGTACGCGCCCTTAGCGGGAACCGAACCCGGGTCTCTCTGGACCGCAGGCGGACGCTCTAACCGCTGAGCCAAACTGGCCAGGGCAAAGGGGGCAAATTTTATAGCATGTGAATTATACCTCAATAAAAAAAATATTACTGCTTTAAACTGAATATTCTTCAGATAAGCAGAAGTTTTAAAAGGAGAAGGAATCCTTTAATTTTATTGTGGTTGAAAACAGAAAAAGAAATTTTCATGTGTTTAAATTAGGTAAGAAGATTTGAAAAATTTTCCATGTCACTAAAAAAAATTGCCTCTTCAGTTTAAATATCAATGAATTTAATTTAAATATCTGAAAAAGCCAAGTTTAGATATGATAACAATAATCAACTGAATTTTCATCTAGTTATTTTAAATTATAAGTATTAGGAAAGGTACAGATTTTGAGATCACAATTTAAATTAAATTTTACCTGTAAAAGTGACAATTATATTCATCCAAATCTGCTAATAACAATATCCTTTACCTTGATTGAAAATCCATTTCTGTATTAGAGTAATGCTACCTGATATACTTTTAACACAATAAATGTTCATTTTTATCTCAATAAAAAAAAAAAATGTATGGCACCTTTTAAATATAAGAATTCAGAAGACTCAGAATTACAAAGTAGGGACATCTGTAATACTTCCAACAATAAAGATAAATTTTCAAAAACTGTATAAACTCCAAAAGAATAAATAACAAAATACTAATTAAATTGTCAATCAATAGTTTCTAGCCACACAGATTAACATATAAATGCACTGCCCTTATCTGTTAAGAGCATCACCATTTTTCCCGTTGCCCACACCCTATATCCAGTACTGGGCAAACCCTGCCGGTATGCATCACTTTTGCGGCCTGCACTGCTCCATCCTAGACGAAGCCTGGTGATACATGGTACAGCAGAGGCAGCTAAATTACCAGGCTGAAAACATCCTGATGGCACTCCAAGTAGCCCAAAGACAGAATTACACCACTCCTAGTAAACAGCTGCTTAACCAGCTGACCCCAAAACTCTACTACCTACTAGAGAGACACTGCTAAAAACCAAGGTCAGGAAAGCTCCTTAGCTAGTATAACATGCAAAAATCAATCGTAAACTGGGGAGACATTTTTTTCTTTCTAAAAGGTTTACGTACATTATCTAAAGTGTCTAGCTTTTCAACATTTAATCAGATATCAACAACAAAATAAAATACTATATGCACCCCTAATGCATTGTAACTATTCACAAGAGTCTGGTAGTTGAGATTTACAAAGTCAGAAATACTTTGTATTTCTAGAAATTACCCAGTTGATATCGAAAGATTAAACTTTTTTATGTGAAGGACTAAATGGGTCTCTCATAATTATGTATGACTTAAAAAAATCATGTTTTTGGTATACTCAA